ATTACTGGCCGGTTACGGTGCTAAACCTACAGGGGCAGGTTTGGGTCGTGACACGAGGACACGACCCCTTGGGGCATATTAGACCAGTGCCCGTTCACTGTGCTTTCCATCATAGAAGGTGGCCTCCGCTTCCCGATTAACCCACTGATGTGCGAATTCTTGCGGCGCACTGGGCTAGCTCCAACCCAGGTCTCTACCAACATCTACCGCATAATAAACGGAATTACCGAGCTAAACAATCGTCTAGGCACCAACTTAGGACTGGCTGTGATACTTCGCCAGTATACCCTCGGGTATACAGGCGATGGCCTTTCCTATTACTTAAAGATCAGACCGGGCAAGGTGAAAATAGTGACCGGTACCCTAGACAAGGACTTACATGACGACGATTTTTTCTAGGTGTCCGGCAATTATGAAACAGCAGAGGTGCTGGGCTGGTATATCAGCAAGGATTTCGGTTCAACATGTAAGCCGTGCTAACTGCTCAGTCAAATTACTTTCCTTCTATATTTTGTACTTGATATTTTTTCTTCTCTTTGAAGTAATCAAAGCTTTGTAAGCCAATTACCGTTATCCAAACAAAGCAACCATCAGAACCGTGCTTCGCTACCGCAACCGGGATTGCCATGAACTCCTCGGTTACGTGTCGACCTACAGGTATTCAGCTCCATGCCGGAGTAAGGTTACAGACTTCCTCCGTGCACCATCTCTACCTCCCGATCCCACATTGCTGGACGTGCCATTTATCCAGTTGACCGAGGCAGAAGAGATGGCCAAAAGAAGCCGCATCAAGAACCTCATCACTGCTACCTCCACCGAGCTACCGAGCATTCCATCCCGCACAGCAGCTGCCGGTCAATTAAGCGGGACCGTGGTTGCACTAGTGTCTCCTACCGCCGGGCAGGCAAGCAAAGAAAGTCGTCGGGCTGGGAAAATGCCACGTACCGCCGACCCCTCTGCCGAGATAGTTACGGAGTTGAACACCGAGCAACCAGCGGTGACAACTGACCCGACACCTCCATGGAAGCCATAATTCAAGCACCGGGGTAAGGAGATCCCGGCGACTGCCTCGGTCAAAGGTGACAAGGAGCATCTACTCACCTTTGACCTAACCAAAGCCTTGCTTCTGCCGAGCGACGTGGTCAGCAGCGACCACGTGCCGGACACCCAGTTAGTGAAATCCTTGGTCAAGTCTATGAACCGGGTAAGAATCTCCAACTTTTTACTCAAAAATTCCTAAGTGTTTGCTCGGTTTCCTTTCTAATCAAACTTTCTTCTTGCAGGCCATCCAGAAACAACACTTGGTCATGGAGCGCAATCACAGACTCTGGCAGAAGGCAACCGACGCTGCCAGCCAGGTTGAGCATCTTCAGACCGAGTTGGGGAGATCAAAGGTTTCTTTGGAGATCGCAAACTCTGACAACTCCAGATTGCCCGGCCAGCTTGGAGCCGCTGAGTAAGAAAGGGATGCTCTCCAGGCCGAGTTGGAGGCGTTGAACCAGTCAAGGAAGAAGGAGCTAGAGGACGCCAACAACGCCGGTTTCAAAGAGGCCGAGGAAAACTACACGGAAACAAGTCCATGCCACCCAAGACATTTTCTTCGAGGCTGGCTGGAAGGCTGCTTACGAACAGCTCGGCCAAGGATCTGGAACTGACATGTTTGTCTCTCCCCCAGTTGCCATCTTGCCGACGTACTTGGTGCCATACGCCAATGATGTCTTCATCGCATTACAGGCCGAGGCTGAGGAAGAAGACGTGGAGGATGACGAGGAAAATGCCGAGGGAAATAACCGCCCAAAACAGACCGACGAGGGCGAGGGCGAGGCCGGCGTCCAAGAAACCACTGTTACGATCAACCTGGAGACAACTACTACCGGGGATGAGTTTGTAGACCTTTCTCCCTTAGTGTAGTTTTCTGTCTTCCTTTTGCTTTTAAGAATATAACCGGACTGCCAGTCCCACCGTATGTAATTCTATTTCACATCAATGAAATGTTTTGATTTCGCTTAGTGTTTGCATTGTGTTTAAGCTAAACAACTTCAGCTGGGATAAACCATCGCGGCTAAGCAAATCACCAACTCATCTAGCCGAGATAAACCATCTCGGCCGAAACCAAAGAGTTGAGTAAATCATCAACTCATTTAACCGGAATAAAACATGTCGGTTACAATTCCAAAGAGTTGAGTAAATCATCAACTCATTCAATCGGAGTAAAACATCTCGGTTGAAATCTTAGAGTTGAGTAAATCATCAACTCATTCAACCGGAGTAAAACATCTCAGTTGAAATCTCAGAGTCGAGTAAATCATCGACTCATTCAACCGGAGTAAAACATCTCGATTACAATTCCAAAGAGTTAAGTAAATCATCAACTCATTTAGCCGGAGTAAAACATCTCGATCGAAATCTCAGAGTTAAGTAAATCATCAACTCATTCAACCGGAGTAAATCATTAACTCATTCAACCGGAGTAAAACATCTCGGTTGAAATCTCAGAGTTGAGTAAATCATCAACTCATTCAACCGGAGTAAAACATCTCGGTTGAAATCTCAGAGTCGAGTAAATCATCGACTCATTCAATCGGAGTAAAACATCTCGGTTACAATTCCAAAGAGTTGAGTAAATCATCAACTCATTCAACCGGAATAAAACATCTTGGTCGAAATCTCAGAATAAGCATCGAAAACAACAGAATGCTCCAGCAAAGTCAAGTCACTTCTATTATATTGACAAAAAGAGTTACATTCTGAAGCGTAAGGCAAACAAATCCTTGCTCAAAAGAATAACATATTAACAATAGTATAGTTTGAAGTTGGCTGCATTCCATGGCCGGGGTATGCCTTTGCCATCCAAATCTTCCAAGTGGTATGCCCCCTTGCCCGCCAGACCGGTTATCCTGTAGGGTCCTTCCCAGTTTGCCCCTAGATTGCCTTCGCCGGGCACCAGGGTATTGCCCATGACCTTCCTTAAAACCCAGTCGCCTACTTTAAACGGTCTGGGGTGCACGGTTTTGTTGTATTTCCTGAACAATTCTTGTTGGTACAGAGCCACATGAATCAAAGCTTTTTCTCAATGCTCTTCAGCAAGGTCCAAGTCCAGGGCTATTACTTTAGAGTTCAGCTCCGGCTCAAAATTTTCACTGCGGATGGTGGGCATGCCGATTTCCAATGGGATGACTGTCTCCATGCCGTATGCCAGGGCAAAAGGAGTTTCCCCGGTAGATCGCCATGGGGTCGTCCGGTATGCCCAAAGGACATTTGGGAGTTTCTCGGCCCATTTTCCTTTGGCTTTCTCAAGTCTTTTCTTCAACCCATCAAGAATGATCTTGTTTGATGCTTTGGCTTGGCCATTGGACTGCGGGTAAACCAGGGTGGAGTTGTAGAATTCGATCTTCAATTCTTTACAAAATCCTCTGAATAGGCGCCCGTCAAATTGGGTGCCATTGTCAGAGATCAGAATTTTAGGGACGCCAAACCGCGTTACCACATTCTGCCAGACAAACCGTTTGATGTCTTTCTCCTTGATAGTTGCTAAGGGCTCTGCTTCAACCCATTTGGTGAAGTAGTCCGTAGCCGTGATGAAGAACTTCCGATTGCCTGGTGCCGTTGGGAGTGGTCCCACTATGTCCAACCCCACATCACAAAAGGCTAAGGGCTTGTGAGGGGAATAAGTTCTCTGGCCAGCTTGGTGAATTTGGTGGGCGAACTTCTGGCACTTCTCACATTTGTGAACATATTTCTGAGCGTCCGCTTGCATCCACGGCCACTAATACCCTTGCGAAATAGCCCGGTAGGCCAAAGATCTGCCCCTGATGTGACTGCCGCATATGCCTTCATGAATTTTGTATAGGAAAGCTTCCACGCTGTTTGGGTGTTCACACTTGAGATAGGGGCCGGTGAAAGACTTCTTGTATACAGTGCCAGATGGAGAGAGCCAAAACCGCTCTGACTTCACCCGGACTTTATGCGCTTTCTTTTTATCGGCCAGAAAGGTCCACTCCTTGAGGAAGAGGATAATAGGGTCCATCCAAGAAGGAATTAGCTCGGTGCAAAGTACCTCTGTCAGCTCGATTTTCTCGATACTTGGCCTTGGAAGATACTCAATCAGGAGAGAACTGGGAGATATTCGGTCGACCATGGAAACCAGACTGGTTAACTCATCCGCATGGCCATTGTCTTTCCGGCCAATTTGTTGGACCCTGATTGTCTGGAATCGCTTGATGTGTTCTTTCACTAAAGCTTGGTATTTTGCCATTCTGTCATCTTTAGCTTCGTAAACCCTAGACACCTGGTTGACAACGTGTTGGGAATCGTTGTAAACCATCAGCTCGGATGCGTGCACCTAAAGCGCGCTCTTAAGTTTAGCTAGCAGCGCCTCGTACTCAGCCTCATTGTTTGACGCAGGAAATCCGAGTATGATAAAGTGTTCGATGGTCAGACCATCTGGGGAAATCAAAACTATGCCCAGCCCGGCATCGTGACGATTTGAGGCTCTATCTACAAAAAGTTTCCACATTTCACCGACAAAGAGCTTCCAACACTCTGAGGGGTCTTGGGAGGCTTCAAGGTTGATGGGATCACGGTTGCGCGGCTGTTCGGTTTCTGCTCCGTTACTGTTTGGTTCCATTCCACCCTCCCTCGGTGATGTAGCACCGGACCTAACAGGTTGATCAGCCATGCTCAAGTCCGGAGTCGTATCGCCGGGCTGCAGTACCATGCCGGCTGGACGCTCTATGGCAGGGCACGCAAGTTCCGCGACGCCAACATCGCTCTGCGGTGCAATTTCTGGCGAGCTAGCATTTACCTTTTCAGCTGCCGCGGCAAGATCCACCAGGCACACTAGATGAATTCTAGGGGAGAATTCAGCAACAAAGTCGGCCAATGTCTGCGCTTTTAGGGCAAGCTCGGTTGACAGTGTTGTAGTCGACGCAAACTCGCCACTTCCCATTCTTCTTGGGTACTACAACCGTGTTTGAAATCCAGCGAGGGTAGTGCACTTCCTAAATATCCCGCGCTTCAAGCAAGTTCCTTACCTCCTCCGCGACTACCTCGGCATGATGAAGAGCTGATCTCCTTGTTCTCTGAATGACTGGCTGCGCATCAGGGAAAACATTGAGTTGGTGGCAAATAAAACTTGGGTCGATGCCAGGCATGTTGTAGGACGACCATGCGAAGACTTCGATATTTGCCATCAAGAACTCTACCATCTCGGTCCTTTCTTGAGCGGTCAGGCTTGATCTGAGCAAAAAGAACTTGTTTGGATTTTCCGTGTTGAGCTGTACTTTTACCAATTCTTCAACAGCTTTGTCCTCGGCCCTAGTGCCCACGTCATCAAGGACACTCTGGTCTTCTAGGCCTTCAATCATTTGCACGAAGCCTTTTGCAGCTCAGCTCCCGTTCACTGCCACGAAGCATTGCTTTGACATGACTTGATCGTCCCAAATTTCCTCAATTTCCCCCATAGCCGAGGGGAATCTCATAACTCGGTGGTAGATCCATGCTACAGCCTGCATAGCGTGAAGCCAGCCCCTACCGAGGATCAGATTGTATGTAGACGGCACCTACAATACCCAGAACTCCACCTGCTGGACCATGGATCCGGCTTTGACCGGCAAAATTATTTTTCCCAAAGGCCACTCTGGTTGCGAGTTGAAACCTACCAGTGGCGAAGTTGCTAGAGCCAAGTCTGTGTGTTGGAGTTTGAGTTGTTTGAATGCGTCGTAGTACATAATTTCAACCGAGCTTCCTTGGTCTATCAAGATGTGTTTGACATCGAACTCTTTGACGTGGAGGGTGACCACTAGGGCGTCGTTGTGTGGCGTTTGAATGCACTCTAGGTCCCTTGTGGAGAAGCTAATCACGTCTTTTTCATCGGTCTTCCCCCTTTTGACCGCAGGCTGGACTGACAGAACTTCCCTCATATGTTTCGCCTTTTTGATCATTCCTCGGAGCTCGCATACATGCGCCGGCTCCACTATGTTGTGGATCACGTTAACCACTTCTTGAGGCGGCGCCTCCAAGTCATTCGGTCCATGCGGATCAGCCGGGGCAGAATGTGCAGCCTTAACACCCCCATCTATGTAAAGATCTAAGTGGCCGGCTGCGACTAACTCCTCAAAGTGTTGCTTCAGAGGCAAACAGTCCTCTGTCTGGTGTCCTCGCTCCCAGTGATACGTGCAGCGGTATCGCGGATTGAAGCCCTTTTGTGCGTCACCTAACTTAGCAGGAAATCCGACGTAATCCTCGTCACGAATTTCACTATGTATGCGATAGATTGGAATCTTAAAGAGCGTGGTGATGCCTGACTGAGCTTTCAACGTTCTATTGGCATCAGCTACGTGATCGTATGGGTATTCATCTCGGTCATTCCGACGTCCCCTTCCCCGATTTTGACGATTCGACCCTCGATCAGATTCCTCGGCGCGGTCATTTGGACGGTTAGTCTCCTGTTCGACCGCATGCACCTTGCCAGCTGACCTCTTGTCTATTACCACCGGAGTTGTCTTCGCGGTGGATGCCGCCGCATCATCCTCTACTCGGATGTGCTCATTGATGCGCTGCATTAGTTGGCCCATGGATGTTGGCTAGTTCATGGTAAGCGAGTCCCGCAGCCTATGTCCGACCGGGAGACCGTGCTTATATTGGGTGATTGCCAGGTTGATTAGGCAATCTAAAATCTCATTGAAGGTTTCCCAGTATCTGGAGTTGTATGCCTTGAGTATGTCGCTCGACTCCATTTTGACACTGAGAAGGTGGTCCACCTCCTTCGGCGTTTTAGTGTTAGTCTTGAAACGAGTTACAAAGGCTTCCACCAACTGCTGCCACCTTCGATACTTCCCTCCGGCAGCCTCTCAAACCATTTCAAGCCCAGCTCGCTCAAACTCGACGGGAAGATAAGGTATATAAGAGCGTCATTGCGCCTATGTCCGGCCATGACCTGCTGGAAGTGGCTTACATGCATGTATGGATCGGTCTTTCCGTCATAGAGCGTAAACTTGGGTTGGTGAAAGCCCGCGAGGAGCGGTGTGGTTTCTATTGTAAGGGAGAAGGGGGTGGCGTTCAGCCTCGCCAAATCTGTGTCTAGAAGGAGAGGCATGGCTGGGCAGGGTGGTGGCATTATGACCTCTTCACTGGCGCGACCCCCGTAAGATAGCCGCTGGAGCGCCGGCACCCTTTGAGTCTCCCGCCGGCGACCTCGCTCCTTCAAGACTGCCCGTAAGTCCTCAGAGCGAGTGGAATAGGAATACCTCGACGTCGTTGCCAGACATAAGGGTTGATAGGTACTATCTTGCGCGCTAGACTTCTCTACAGGCGCGTTGGATTATCCAACCCTGTAATTTCTGGTGATAGAAATGGAAGGAGTGTGCCGCTGGCTCTGACTGCCTGAACGGCGTGGTTGGATGTGCTCACTGTGGTCTCCCACTCCGGCAACACCTTTCCTTTTGACATGCCATTTGAGATCTTCCATCTCCACCGCCATTCTCTGGATGATGGCGTCTTGGTCCCTTAACTTATGCTCCAGACGCCTAGCGTGCGATTCTCTTCACCGCCGGTGCCCGTCTGGGCACCGAGAGTTACCAAAACTTCTACCGCGCTTATCACACGCGTCTCTTGAATGTCCTCCTGGGGAAGTCTCCATATCCGCCATGTTTAGAACGGCGGGGAGTCCGTCTCTCCGTTTCGCTGACTCCGGGGTGACACCATCAATGGTAGACAACGGTACTTCGTCGTTGTTTGCCATGGAAGACGATCAGATAAGCTTGGAAGACAAGGTTTTGTCTGTTGAACTCTTCCCACATACGGTGCCAATTGTACGGGGGGGCAATATTCCACAGAGCTCGTACTCCTTTCTATCAAGCTTCTTGTCTGTCCGATCGACCTGCGAACACACAACGCCGGTGAGCTACCCGGCGGTGTGTGGTCGGAAAACCCCTTCGACGGTCAAGTTAGCATACACTCTAGGGATATGGAGAGAGGAGAGAGTTGAGTGTTTAGGTTGTTCTCACCAAATGATGTTCCATCCGCCGCATGGGGGGCGCAGTCAAGCTTATATACTTTCTGCGCTTATATCTGCTCACATTAGTCTTTTGACACGTGGAGCTGCTCTCCTATCTGTTAGCACAAATCCCGCAATCACCACCTAACCAAACCGCCAGACAACATTAACAGGATCTCGGCAAATCGGTGGAATCACCTCAGCCCTCCACGTCCGTGTTGCATAACGTGCCTGAGTGCTCCACTCGCCGAGCTCCATAACAGCCGAGCTCGGTAGGTAGCATTCCGGTATAACCGAGTTTAAGATAAGCCGAGACGGTGAACAAAAGACTTTACCACTGAGCTAACCATGCTCCCCCAAAACCTATGTAGCAGATGCTCATCTCGGCCCAGCAAGTCCAAATCCGGGGAGCTCGGTCAATCACATGGCCGTGGACCTCAGGCCTAGGCCTCAACCGAGCAAGATCACCTCCAGGGAAACCCCAGTTAGCTCAGCCTAGACAGGGGCTGGGCCTTGACCGAGCAAATCTCACTCCAAATCAGGCCCAAGTGATCTCTGCCCAAACATGCTCGGCCCTGACCTGTTCGACCTTTTCCACGGTCCAAAGCCAGATTATAAATCTCCCTCTCAATTGCTCCTTAATTCCGTCCGCGCAAGCGTGACTAGGATAACATGATCCGTCCAGGGTAGACTCTTCCTCGGTCCTCAAGACAGTAACCGCGCTAATTTGTACAATATTATTCAATTTTATAGAATATTTTGGAAAGTAAGTTAAAAATTAATTTTTTGTCTTTTTTTTTTTAAAAAAAAAAACATATAAAAAAATAGAGAAGTGATTTGATTTAAAAAAGCTGAAAAACTGACTTTTAACTAGTTACTAAAATGTGATATGTCTTTAGGATATTGGTTTAGTAAAACCTACATTTCAATTATTATTATTATTTAAAACATTGCTGGGAGAGAATTAAAATTGTGACCACCGGAGGAGGAACACACATTTTGGCAACTATATAATCCATTTAGCTTTCATGTTTTTATACATCAATAATAACAAATCAAACAATATTTAGTACTCAAATATAATGATTAAAGTATTATTATCACCAAATATACAAAATGTGTCACTCAAATTTGTAGCAATAATAATTTATATAATTTTTGGCTAAATAAATTTTAGAGCACGGGTCAAGTTTGAAGTGAATTACAAGCACAAATTATGAAATAAGAGAGGTTCCAAAGAGGATAGCCACATGGTCCTTAAAATATAAAGTTTGGTCTATTCTCTATTCTCTCTCTCTTTTCTTTTTCTTTTTTTCATTTTTTGCCCTTTGAAAATTGAAGGTTTGCATGGAAAACATGCATGCATAGAGCTCGGTTAGAAAGTTCGCTAGTTTAGTTGTCTTTTACACTTTTTAATTATTTTAACCTTACTAAAAAAATTGTATTTGGTATGAATTGAATGCCACAAATAATAGTTTGGCATGAATTGGCAGCTTCCAAAGAGAATGGTTCTATGGTTGGTAAGTGTGTGAGTGAATTTTTGACCACACTGCCAACTAAGTATTCAACTGGAGAGCACTGACAGAATAGATGGCACCTGTCTGACCTGCAACAAAAAAAGAAGATTCTAGCGGTGGTTTGTCCACCGGGGGCACTCTGACGATCAAGTCAGTATCTCTCTCAAAGATAATCAATAGTGCTAAACTCACTGTTCAAAATATAAATTGTGTACCTTAGACCCATCGGGGGTGCCTCTCTTTTATAGCTAATTCAGTCCTAGTCCCCATAGAAGCCTAGCTTCAATGGACTTCTGCTCAGCGCTTATCCTGAACTCTCCAAGAGATAAAGATAAACTCCCTAAGAGTATTATCCTTATCCATGTTGAAGTCCTTCCTCATTTTAGGACTCTTATGCCTTATCCGCTTATCCCAGATTCTGATATCTTCGGAGGTAACCTCAGCCTGGCCGAGATAACCTCGGCGTCACAGACAGGACTCGTGGCACCTCGGCTGACACGTCAGCGTCATCTTGGCCACGTGTTGTTACTCAGAAAATATATCCCCACAACTGCCCCCTAGGTTCTATTACCTCGGTATTCTGAGGTGATGGAACCTATGTCAGTACTTGATTCCAGTACGTCGCCTTAAAATTTCCCAACTGAGATCATTATACAGGCCGACATCTCCTTTTTAAAGAACAAGAATTCCAAGAGCTCCCTCACGTGTATGAGCTGTCAAGCATAACAACTCAACCGTTTTAGCCATGGGTTTTCCCCTTACTACATCATACTCCGTACGTGCTTGTAAGTCGTCTCGCACCTGCGTGCGCCGTCTGACGCATACGTCGTTTTAGGCGCATTAATTGCCTTTTTGCCGCCGTTTCAAGTTTTGACAAAATTTCTTTTTCCTTTCGTCTTTTCACTTTACATCGTCTTTGTTCAAACTCCCTCTCTCTCTTACTTTCTCTAATCCTCCATTGTTTCAACCTCTCAAGTTCTGCTACCAACGCTGTTTCACCTACTTCGGCAAGGCTCTTGCTAATCTTTTCCGCTGCTGCCGTTCGTCTGACTTCGGCGAACTCAACACCAGCTTCCTTTCTTCGGTGAGTTACTGTTTCTTCCCGATTTAACTTCTTGTTTCGGTTTTTTGTTTTGCTTTACTGAACTCTACTGCTCTGCTTCTGCAATCTTGTTCATATCTTTGATATTTCAATTTGTATCTTGTTCACCACATGTTTGTTTCACGATTCTGTTTTTGCTCTATTCGTTTCTTGAATACACACTGTTCACACACTTATTGATTATTGCCACTGTTCTTGGCTTGACACACCCGTGAAAAACTTCTATCTTGTGTTTCTTGATGACTCATCACTGTTCTTGACTCTGAATCGCATTCCTATTTCTATTTGCCGTGTTTTTTCCAGATTCGTGCCTTCAATCTTCATCTCTATAGATATAGGTTTGGGATTTGTTTGTGGAACCCACAAATTTTAGGAAAAACTGAAACAATTTTCCACTGATTTTGTATATTTTTAGGTTTTAGCCGAGGTCCCTAAAACCCTAAAAAATACTCCTATCTGAAATCCAACTCCTCCAGTTAAGCCGATATCATGGGTATGTGGAAGCATAGGGTAGACACCCTGACCAAGTTAGAGCACTTTAGGAGAGAGTTTGATATCCCGGCCGACGTTCATCTAAGGTTGGCTGGGGAGGATGACTCTATCATGCCCACAACTGTTTCTATGCACTTTCCTGTTGTAGCTTTTATCGAGTGCGGACTTCGGCTCCCACTAAATATCCTTTTCCGTGAGATACTTCATTATTATAAGTTGAACCCGATGCAGCTTTCCATCAACTCCTACCGAGTCATCAATGGCATAATAGCCTTAGCCAAACAAGAAAGCGCTTGGGTTACCTCAGCGGATATTCAATACTGTTACACCATGTGTGGCCTGAAAAAAGATATAGGCTATGTTTACTACCTCAAGCCGAGGTCCACAGAGTACAAAATTGTTACCGACCTCCCTGACTCCAACAAGGGAGCTGGGGATGATTATTTCATTACCTCGGGGAACTGGGAGTTCGCTCCAGACGAGGACCTCCACCTCTACCCTCTTTCTCGAACAGTTTTTGTAGAGGGCAATGGTAAGAGCCTTGTGTTCATACTAACTTGTTTTCAAAGTTTTTATTTGTTCTAATGTCTGTTTTCTCTTGCAGTTCTTCCTCAGCCACCAAAGGGCTTCCGCCAGTCTTTCTTTCCCAGCAGAGGCTTGAGGAAACTATTAGATCTGCCAATCCATAAGCAAAGAGCCCCTCTGGTGCTCAATTTCATCCTAACCTACAAATCGGTACTGCCTGACGTCTCAAAGAAGAAGAAGAAAAGCCAGTCACCTCCTTGTGCCACAACTCCTCAAGCTGCCTCCATATCTCGGCCAGATCAAGGATCGACCTCTAATCTAGCTGAGTAGCCGTCAACCTCGGCTCATATCTGATCCCAATATCCGAATGCCAACGCCGGCGATGAACTATTTTTGCTGCCGAGATGGGTCGTTAGAAAGCAGTTGCTAAAGATCTTTTGGCCAACATTCCCTCTACCGTAGATGCCCAACCTGCGCCATCTCAGCCAAAGCCGAAGTAAAAAAGGATAAAGAAGGCTCAGCCAAAGGCAACGGTAACTCAGATTGACACTGAGGATACCTTGCCAATTTCAAAATTGGCTTCGAGCGAGAAAAACACCTCCGTCCCCGAGAAGAGGTCTGTCGAGGCCGAACCATCTCAATTAACTCGGTCTAAAAGGCCGAGGTCAGAGTCTGCCACAGCGTCGGGCTCCCTAAAGGTTGGTGCCCCCTGGGCTCCACCCATTACTTTGGAAGACAGGCCAATCTTTGTTGAGGATAGTGTCGACGACATTAATGTCAGTGTTGCCCTTACTACAGCCTTGCTCCTCCCTAGGGATCTCAACCGCAACGCCAAGATGACTGAGCAT